GAGGAGCACTGCAGAAGGAGCATTGCAGGAGGATGTCCAGAAGGGCCTGGCAATGCGACAGCAGAGAGAGGCAGATGGCATCAAGACGTGGTGGGAAGTCTGGGGCGGTGGCGCACGCCTTTAATCCCTGCTCCCGAGAGGCAGAGGCAGACGGGTCTCTGATTTTCAGACCATCCTGGTCTGCAGAGTGAGTTTCAGGACAGGCAGGGCTGCACAGAGAAACCTCGTCTTGAAAAACAAAGAAATGGTTGGGTAGCTGGAGAGATTGCTCAGTGGTTAGGGGCACTGGGTTCTCTTCCAGTTCCCAGCACCCACACGGCAGGTGAAAACCAGCAGTAGCTCTAGTTCCAGGGGACTCAATGCCCTCCTCTGACCTCTGCAGCCACCACATGTACAAGGGGCGCACAGACACAGAAATGAAAGAAGAAAAGAGAAAGAAAGACAGAAATGGCAGGGAGCCTATGCGCAGGCTAATTACTGACTCCATGGAGGGGCAGTGGGCGTGGGCATCGGGTGACAGGGCGCTCCTGGATCCCTCCTAACCGCCTGGAGGCTTTGCTTAGCGGCACAGAAAGTTCAGGGATGAGCATCCGGTTTTGGACGTGAGGGAATCGGGAGCTCAGGGACCAGGCCAGGAGGTGAGAACTGGAGGCTCGAGGGTCTGTACTCCCTAAGGGACCCTGGAGCTTGCAGTGTGGAGTGTGGCCCCTGAGGATGGCTGTGGTAGGAGAGGCCAGTGGCTAACACCATCTGACAGCACGAGTCCTGAGTAGGAAGTAATGTCTGCCCTGAGTCCTGAGGGACCCTGAGACTCTCCAGAAGGGTCCAAAGCAGGAAGGAGACTTCGGGGCCTGTTGGGGGCACTTCTCTCTGGTGCCCTTTGACCCTGCGGGACTCTTACCTCACCTGCCTTGTTTCTAGGCCTGTTTTCCTCCCGTGCACAGACTGCCACGTACGCCCATCATGGGCGGGGCTCAACCTCCTCGTGTCTCTAGGCTCTAGACCAAGTAGAGAGGCCTCCCCGTTGGTTTCTGGCCAACAGTTTGTCTCCCTTTCTTTGCAGATCACCACCTTCTCCAGACTGCTCACCAGTAGCGACTGTGAAGTCTTGGAATCCGAGCTGAAAGGGTTGGCCTCAAAGCCCATGGTCCTGTCGCTGCAGCAGTTTGACACTGAATACTCGTTCCTTAAGGAAGTCCGGTGAGGTGCCCTGCTGGCTCCATCCTCAGGGACCCCGCCCTGGGCAGGTGCTTTCGAGGGGCTGTAGTAACTGGCACTGATTAGTGAACTGGGGGGGGGTCTAGGTCTCCCACATGGCCTCTCTGTCCCCTCTACTCTATTCCTCTCGTAGCTTGCTGGCCACTTAGAATCCTGCGGAGTCACCTACTTCCCCTGTGGAGGGCCTCTCTCTGCAGGCTTTTTCTCTGTGGTCCTGGCCTCACCCTCCTTCAACGAATTCCTTTATTTTCTGGGACAGGGAACTTAACCTGGTAATCCCCTTTCTCCTCCAGCTGTTGCTTAACGAACCCAGCCAGGCATAAAATCTTAGTCATCCAGACGGACTTCGACGATGGTGTCCACAGCGCCCAGCTGGTAGCCTCTGCCAAGTATGTTTTCAGGGGTTGCCTAGAAACAACACTGGGGGCCGACATTCACTCACAACCTGAGGAGAACCTCTCCTCTGCAAGCAGGACAGTGTTGTGAGAAACGGAAATTAACAAGAAAGTTCTCTTCATGTCACAGGATGACTGAATTAATGGATGAAAAAGCTAGAGTTCTGGGGAATAGCTCAGCCACATGAGCAAGAGCGTCTGAGTTCAATCCCCAGTGCCCATGTAAAAGCTGGTGTGATAGTGCACACCCTCGATACCAGTGCTTGGGAGGCAGAGCCAGGAGATCCCTGGGCAAGCTTAGCCTATTCAGGGAGCCCCATGTCCTAGTGATACTGCCTACGGAATGATACATCCACACTCGTGAAGACACTTACACACGTATGGCAGGGGTGGGGGGGTGGGGAGGAAGGAGAACGAAATTGTAAAACACAAGTACAAATAGTAGACCATTAATAGGATGTTTAAAAATATCCTTGAAACATGTTTAGTTGTGGTTTTCAGTTGCACAATATGAATTTATTCCAAGTCAAAGAGCAATAACGGGATAGTCTGTGATGTGTAAGTGGGGTGTGTGTGGCTTGTATGTGTGTGCAATGCTTGTGGTTTATAGACGTGTGTAATGTGTGAGTGGGGTGTGTAGTTTGTGGATATATATATATATATATACATATATATATATATATATATATGACTAAGATTGAACTTTTGAGACAGGGTTTTTCTTTCTTTTCCTATTAATTTATTTATGTGCATTAGTGTCTCAGCCCCTGGAACAGGAATTACAGACAGTTGTGAGCTGCCATGTTGGTGCTGGGAATTGAACCCTGGTCCTCTGGAAGACCAGTCAGTGCTCTTAACCACTGAGCCATCTCTCCAGCCCCAAGTTTTTCTATGTAACAACCTAGGCTGTCCTGAAACTAACTTTGTAGACCAGGCTGGCCTCGTACTCATGGAGATCTGCCCGTCTCTGCCTACTCAGAGCTGGGATTAAAGGCGTGTGTCCCCAGTGCTCATCAAACCTGGCATGTGTTAATAAACCATATAACCATGTAGGACTTCAGTGATAGCACTCTTTTTATTTTTGATTACACGTGTGTGTTTGTGTGTATATGTGTGCCTGGTACCTACAGAGGCCAAATGAAGGCATTGGATCTCCTGGAACTGGAGATGCAGACAGTTATAATCCGCCATGTGGATGCTGAGAATCAAACCAGGCTCCAGCCCCTCTTTTTACTTTTCATTCTGAGAGAGAGTCTCTTAAAATTGTCCAGACTAGCTTTGAACTTGTGATCCTCATGATTCAGTCTCGTGGGTAGCTGGGACAAGCCTGTGTTACCAGGTCCAGCTTGTAAAGCGTGTGTGGGTGTGTGTACACTTGTGTGTGTGGGTGTTCATGCACGAACGTTTATTTGCATTTAATGAGTGTGGTTATGGTATTGATGGAAGAAATCTAATACTTTAGAATTAGCCATATTCCCCTGTTCATGTTAAATGGGAATTTTTGTGCCTGTTTAAAGCGCTAGTAGCCGTATTGTATTTCCGTGCCTAGTGAGATCTTCTGGGAATCAGTCTCAGCACTGTGCACAGGGCTTCATGAGAAGGCCAGAGAGACTTAGCGTGTGTCAAAGCAGGGCAAGGCTTCTATAGAGGATTCTGGGAGGGGTGGTGTGTTCTGGGAGGTTGTGAAGGGCCTGCCAGCCAGCTTCCAACATAGGCTGTGTGCTTATGTGGTATTGATTTGTGTTTGGTCTTAAACAGGTATTCTGCCATCAATGAAATCAACAAAACACAAGGCACAAAGGACTTCGTCTTCGTGTATTTTATTACGAAGCTTTCCCGAATGGGAAGTGGTACATCGTACGTGGGGTTCCATGGAGGTAGGCCTACAGTACTCTAGGGCCGAGGTTCTCACCCCGTGGGTCATAACAGTAGCACAATTACAGTTACGAGTAGTAATAAAATAATTTTATGGCTTGGGTCACTACAGCAGTGTTAGGAAGGTTGAGAGCTACTGCCCTAGAGCGTGTTCCTCTAAGTAGTGTTTGAGGTATTTCTCATATGCTCTTGTGTCTGAAATTAGAATTTGAATCCCAGCTGTACTCTTAAGTCACAATTAGATTTCTTACTCAGTCACTGAAGCCATTAGTTTTAGCTGGGTATGGTGGTTGCACACACTCGTAATCCCAGATTTCTATAGGTTGAGGCGGGAGGGATTGCAGGTTCGAAACCAGCCTGGACTACACAGAAAGACTTGGAATCAAAAAGAAGCAAACAAACCAACCAACTCTGGGCACACAGCAGTGGCTTTAGCATCTCTGCGTCTACTTAGGTGAGGACTGCCAGCACTCTGACCCCCACCTTGTATGATGGAGGGATTCGGAGACCTTCCCAGCCACCAGCACCCACACGCCAGCCTGGCTTTCATTTCCTATCTGTTCTGTGTACTGACCCTTTGTGGGAGAAATATTGTCTTCATCTCAGTCCCCTGGTCTCTCCTGCTTTAAGACGCGTGTACTCCAGAAGCTGGAAATAGACAATGGATAATCTCACAGACACTGGAGAGCAGGCCTTCCCAGCCCCTCACATGGCTTTACTAACGGTGATGAGTTGGCTACAGTAAGATGTGAACCAGGAGCCGGGAGCTCACTCGTGGACCCTCTGCAGGAGGTTACTTTAGATCCTAAGCAGTGCTTGGTTGATCTTGTTGACAGACCTTGTGGTTTTGGGTACTGATCACTCCTTCAGCAGCAGCCTAATCAAAAATCTGGGTGAAGGGGCTGGAGTGAAACCTCAGTGAGTAAGAGTGCAGACTGCTGGTCCAAGGGACCTGGGTTCGATTCCTAGCACCCATATGGTGGGTCACAGTCATCTGTATCTCTAGTTCCAGGGATCTGACACCCTCTTTTTTTTTTTTTTTTGGTTTTTTGAGACATGGTTTCTCTGTGGCTTTGGAGGCTGTCCTGGAACTGGCTCTGTAGACCAGGCTGGCCTCGAACTCACAGAGATCCACCTGCCTCTGCCTCCCGAGTGCTGGGATTAAAGGCATGCGCCACCAACACCCGGCTCTGACACCCTCTTATGACATACAAGGCACGTGCCTGGTGTACTTGCATACATGTGAACAAATACTCAGTACATAAAAACCAGTCAATCAATCCTAAAAAAAAAAAAACTGTCAGCCCAGCTTGATGGCTCAGAAGGTAAAGGCACCTTCTGTGAAACTTGACAATCTGAGTTTGATCCCTGGACAGATGGACGGACAGAACCAACTGCCACAAGTTATCTTCTCACTCCACACATGTGCTATGGCACGCATGCACACACACACACACACACACACAAATACACAGGCACACAAAACTAAAAATGAAAACAAATAAATCAGCGTGAGATCCAGGTTGGTTTTATTTCTTTGTTCATAAATGACAAGAAGAAAATGGCTACGTTACAGGAGATTCCAGTGACTTTGTCCTTCACAGGGCTGTGGCGGTCTGTCCACATTGATGACCTCCGCAGATCCACGATCATGGCCTCAGATGTCACTAAGCTGCAGAATGTCACCATCAGCCAGCTGTTCAAGCCAGTGGACAGACCTGAGTGTGAGTCACAAGTCAGCCATCTGGGGACGTGGTTTGGTGACAGGCGGGAAATGCCAGGTGCAGCAGTGCCATAGTGCTGGATGCGGGGCCGGCCACTCTGCTGTCCCAGCTGTGGTGGAGCCAAGGGGAAGGCCACCCGAGTGTGCCCACAGCATGCCAGGCTACTTTATGGTTCCTTTGCTGGCCCTGAGAGCCCAGGCTAGGGAGCGCCTGAGCTGGAGCTGACATACAAAACACATGTTCCCTTGACTAGGGCCACTGCTACTGATAGGGACTTCTGGGAAGCCTGGCAAGTCCCAGCCCATCTCAGGTAGTCCGACACGTTCTAGTCCCACATGTTAACTCGAGCATGTTTGCCTTGCCTTTTGCCTACCAGACGACTCGGAGGAGGCGATGGAGATAGAGACCATCGAGTCAGGGGAGATGGCGGAGGAGAAAATGGAGGTGGAGGGTCTAGAGGGGACGGAGACGGCGTCTGACCCCAGAGCCTGCGATGTGAGTCCTGCTTTTCCCATTGGCTATGAGAGCTGCAGCTCTGCCCTCTCTCCTGGGAGTTAAAAGAGCCAGCCCCTGTGCTTATTGACTGGGGGGAGGGGAGAGTGAGTCGTTCCCTTCACTAAATAGTTCCATCCCATTCCTTCATCCCTGACCCACTTGCTAATGCTGGTCAGCAAGGGATATGGTTGACAGGTTGTAACTTTTGCCATAATGGCCACCAACTGGGGCCGCGTGACCGCTAACACAAAGCCATCATTTCACAATGCTGGCCTGGCCTTTGTCCTGACTGGAACCGGCGCAGTGGAAGCCTACACTCCTCCTCCTCGGTGCTCACAGGTCCTAGACACCACCAGACTGCTGCGGAGCTGTGTGCAGAGCGCGGTGGGGATGCTCCGAGACCAGAATGAGAGCCGTGCACGCAACATGAGGAGAGTCACCATTCTCCTTGGCCTCTTAAATGAAGATGACGCGCGCAACGGTAAGCACTGTGCCCCAGCGCTGAATCGCCCACCTAATGTGGAGAGGGTAACCACCTTCAGAACTTTCCTGGCCAAAGGGCGGGCAGCTTTTCTCTTGGGTAAGATGGGTCAAAAACTGGCCACATCAGGTCCCCCACTGTCTTCACAGCCTCCTTTTTGCGGAAGTCTAAGATGCGCCTCCATGTGCTTCTAAAGAAGCAGGAAGACAACCAGGTCCGCAGCCTAAAGGAGTGGGTCACCAGGGAGGCTGCTAATCAGGATGCCCTCCAGGAGGCAGGCACCTTCAGGTACAGGGGGAAAGAAGCATGGGGGCCTTTGTGCCATTCCAGTGGGAGTCTTAGTCGTGTCTGCCTGCTGGTGTGACTCTTAGTGATGTCCTCCTGCTGGTGTGACTGTTAGTGATGTTCTCCTGCTGATGTGACTGTTAGTGATGTTCTCCTGCTGATGTGACTGTTAGTGATGTTCTCCTGCTGGTATGACTCTTAGTGATGTCCTCCTGCTGGTGTGACTGTTAGTGATGTTCACCTGCTGGTATGACTGTTAGTGATGTCCTCCTGCTGGTGTGACTGTTAGTCGTGTCCTCCTGCTGGTGTGACTCTTAGTGATGTTCACCTGCTGGTGTGACTGTTAGTGATGTCCTCCTGCTGGTGTGACTGTTAGTGATGTCCTCCTGCTGGTGTGACTCTTAGTGATGTCCTCCTGCTGGTGTGACTCTTAGTGATGTCCTCCTGCTGGTGTGACTGTTAGTCGTGTCCTCCTGCTGGTGTGACTCTTAGTGATGTCTCCTGCTGGTGTGACTGTTAGTGATGTTCTCCTGCTGGTGTGACTCTTAGTGATGTCCTCCTGCTGGTGTGACTCTTAGTGATGTCCTCCTGCTGGTGTGACTCTTAGTGATGTCCTCCTGCTGGTGTGACTCTTAGTGATATTCTCCTGCTGGTGTGACTGTTAGTGATGTCCTCCTGTTGGTGTGACATTTATGTCAAGGGTAAGGGCCTGGGTGTTTTCTTCCTACACCTGAGCAAATTAGAGATGTAACTCACCTTAAATAAATCTGGATGGTGGTTATGTGGGTTATTTCTGGTCTTTTCTTATTTTTTAAGGATGTATTTACTTAGTATGTATACAGTTTTCTGGCATGTAGATGGTTGCAAGCCACCCTGTGATTACTAGGAATTGAACTCAGGACCTTTGGAAGAGCAGTCAGTGCTCCTCACCACTTAGCCATCTCTCCAGCCCTAACTTTGCTCATTTTATTTAAACTTTTTCTATAATAAAAATATTCAGGGGGCCAGGCAGTGGTGGCATACAACTTTCTCCCGGCACTCAGGCCAATCTCAGTGAGTTTGAGGCCAGCCTGGTCTACAGAGCAAGATCCAAGATAGTTATGGCTACACAGAGAGACACTATCTAAAAAAACAAAACAAAACAAACAAACAAAAAACATGGATGTGAGTGTTTGTCGGTAAGTTACAAACCATAGAAAGTGATGCTGTCAGGGGCTGTGAGCCCATTGCTTGAGGTAGCACTATGTACAGCATTAGGAGCCAGGAGAGTACTTTACCACAGGTGGTCAGTTTTCTACAGAACTGGACTTGTGAAGAGTTTGAGACAGCCTGTGTTGGGGGACTGAGGTGCCACTCTGGGTCTTTGGGGAACCTCGGGCTGTATCTTTATTTCTGCAGACAGTGGTTCCATCTCCCAGGTACAACTGTTTGCCTTTGGCCCCCCTGACCGAGGGTGACTGATGCTTCTGGCACTGGGAGCCGGCGGGTGGCCCTGGGAGCCGGCGGGTGGCACTGGGAGCCTCGCTCGGCTCTTTTCTGTCTCAGTCGCCTCTCACCAGCGCTTGTCAGTTGTTCTGAGCCTGCAGTGAGGTTCTCACTGAGCCGAACAACTCCGACTAAAGATGGGCTTTGCACGGACCATGAGTGATGTGTCACTACCGTTCTCCCGGGTCCTGCCTCGTCTCAGCTGTTCCCGTCTTGCCTCCAGCCTTCACCTCACACTTTTGTCCTTGTCTTGCTTGTCGCAGTGTGTGAGTGTGAGGCGTGCTTGTTAAGCCAAGGGCTGTCTTTGTCCATGGAGACAACTGTTTTCTTCCTCTGTGTATGCATTAAAAAAAAAACAAACTCTTCTCAAGTTCTCAGAATGAGATGCTAACACTAGATACCAATCTCTAATATTACTTCATAATTATCTTACTACAGTCTTACGGTCAATTATAGACTTAATGATTCTGTATAAATGTCTCCTTGGGACGGTGCTAGCGGTTGAACTCAGGTGTTGGTTCATGGTCAGCTGTTGCTCATCCCTGATTCATGTCCCAGTCCTAAGCAGGTCAGCAGCAAAGTGTCATGTAGTTAATTCAGACAACTGACCGTGGTGATCTCCCGTACACCAAAAGCTAAATCTCAGGACGCATGCTTTCATGATTAACTTGATCTGGAGAAAGTTCCTTTCTCAGTGAATCTGGTCATTGTTTTCATTGTGTTTTTTTGTTTTTGTTGGTTTGTTTGGTTTTGGTTTTTTGAGATAGGATTTCTTTGTGTAGCCCTGACTGTTCTAGAACTTGCTCTATAGACCAGGCTGGCCTCAAACTCCCAGAGACCTGCCTTCCTCTGCCTTCCTAATACTGGTATTAAAGGTGTGTACCACCATCACCCAACTATTTTCACTTTTAACTGGATGACTGGTTTTGGAAATAGCTAAGAATAAAAACAAGCCTGTGTCCTCACCTTTCTGATGAGTGTTTCAGATATGGCTGTAGAAGCAGGTTCTGCCCAGTTCTGCCTCTAATCTTCTAAGGCCCTGCTTGTGACTCCCTCCCTGTTTTTGTTTTAAATAAAAACTTACTCTATGTTTATGAGTGCTGGCATGCATGTGTGCCTGTGCACCACCTCCAGAGGACACAAGGGGGCATCAGATCACCTAGAAACTGGAGTTACAGATGGTTGTGAGTCGACTTGTGAGAGTTCAGACTCGGAGCCTGGGTCCACTGCGTCAGCTCCAACCTCATTTTCCCACTCTTGAAAATGTTGGCAAGCTCTTGCTGCTGTGGCTCCCTGCAGGAACCTCGGGAAGAGAATCTGGGGGCGGGAGTGCGTGCTGCGGTTACCCTAACCAGAGTGGGTTTCCTCTGCCCCTGTTGCAGGCATACCCTTTGGAAGCGGGTCCAAGGTGTGGTCACCCCCTTCCTGGCGAGCATGATATCTTACATGGACAGAGACGGCAACCTGGAGCTACTGGCCCAGCCAGATTCACCAGCCTGGGCCCAAGATCTTTGGATGTTTATCTTCAGTGACATTAAGTTCCTAAACATCCCTCTTGTGACTAACACAAGGTGAGTATAAGGGCGCCTTGCTTATATGGAGAGGACTGTGACCTTGTTCTCTCCCCAAGCTGCTGCTGGCGCCCTCTGCAGCCTGGAGGACCACAGCAGTGGACAGTGCTCACCGAAACCCTGAGGTCCTTGGGCACTGTGGGTCTGCCTACTTTGAGAGCACACGTGATGTTAGCTCACCAGGCTCTATTGTGCAACACAGATGCTGAGCGTGGCATCAACTGTACTTTGCCTTCCCTGTCCTTGTCCCTTCCCCAAGGAAGGCCTGACCTTCCTGGATGTAGGCTTCACACTTATGGTCAGACCTCTGTGTGCAGCTATCCATGAGGCCTACAACAAGTCTTTTAAATTTTTGTTTTGTTTTGTTTTAGTGCTAAGAATGTTTTTATTTTGTATGTCCATGCACATATGTACACATGCATGTGGAGGCCAGAGGTCAGCACTAGGTGTCTTCCTCAGTACAGCAGATCTCTTGTTAAAGGTTGTTTTATTGGTGTGTGTCTTGTCTATGTCTGTTTATATGACTTTCCGTGGAGATCAGAAAGGCCCTTGGAGCTGGAGCTCTAAGCGGTCATAATCCACGGATATGGGTGGGTGCTGGGAACCGAACTCAGGTCCTCTGGAAGAGCAGTGTGTGCTCTCAGCTGCTGAGCCATCTCTCCAGCCGCTGCCTTGGCACCTGAGACCCGTTCTCTCACCCTGAGGCTTACTATTTGCCTAGATGGGCGGGACTGCCAACACCAGGGTCGGTCCTCATCTCTGCCTCCACGCCCTGGGATTTTAAATGCTTGCAACCGCACCTGCTCTGTCTGGTTCCTTGAGACAGGGTTTCTCATGTAGCCCTGGTGTCCTGGCACTCTCTCTAGACCAGGCTGGCCTCGAACTCACAGGGATCCACCTGCCTCTGCCTCCGTGCACCACCACCACTGCCCGGCTGCACAGCGTGGCTTGGCTGAGCCGCCCCCCCATCCCCCACCGTGTCTTTTGTTCCTCTCTCCCCCGCTGTGTGAAATGCTGACTAGGACCTCACCCACACAGGCAAGCTCCATCACAGAGCCGCGCCCCGGTGGCAGCCTGCCTCTCAGGACTGCAGGGCTGGTGCTGGCTGTGCACGATTCATGTCTCACGTGACACCTCACAGGCCTCGCTCCCGCTTGCCTTGCTGCAGGTCCCAAAATGAGATGCCCTCCATCCTGGTACAGAGCCACATGAACCTGCTCAAGGATGCCTGCAACGCTGTCCCTTTCAGCTGGAGGATCAGGGACTACCTGGAGGAGCTCTGGGTGCAGGCACAGTATATCACAGACACGGAGGGTGAGCTCCCCCTCAGCAGGCTCAACGCAATGCACAAGAATTAACCTGTTCAGGGCAGGACAGTTCTGCAGGTTCTAGCTTTAGCTCTCTGGGTGTGGAGTAGCCTCCAGGGTGTGGTGTCTTAAAATTTCTGTTGAAGGGCTGACAAGATGGCTCAGTGGGCTAGGGCACCTGGCACCAAGCCTGATAACCTGAATTTCAGTCCTTGATATCTATGTGTCAGGAGGAAAGAACTGATTGCCCCGAGTTGTCCTCTGACCCCCACACATGGGCAGTCATACATGCGAGTATGTGCATGCACACACACATGCACAAGAACACGTAACCATAAATTAAAGTTCTGCTGAAGGTGCAAGTCTCCATCAAGGGTCATAAGTCTGGGTGACATGACCTTTAGTCACTGTTTGGGGGCATGATATAACGGGTCATGTCACATCAGGGAAAGAGCTTGCTTCCTGGAACAGGAATGTTATTCTCATCTGAGGCTCCTGGACCACTCAGGTGGCAGCCTCGGGAAATGTCCCCATTGTGGAATTTTATCAGGAAATGCTAGCAACCACAGCAGAGCACCCTCCTCCATGTGGAGCCATCAGGTCCTCCCAGCCATAAAGTCCCTTGCTGTCAAATATGAGAGATTTGGCCATTGTCTCCCTAGGGAAAAAAATGACAGCCCAACATCTTGTGAAAAGTTGTTCTCATGCAAAAAGTCCTCCCCTCAGCACTCACCTAGAGGCTGGCCTCGATACGCTGAGCTGACCTTGTTTTCCCAGATTAGCTCTGTGCCGTTCTCTTTGAACCACAATGAAGCAGATCCCCGAGAAAGCACCGTCTCTTTCCCTGAAGACAGCCCGTTGCCCCTGCTTGTCTAGGGCGGCTGTGAGCAGAGCTGTGGAAGGCAGAGGTCTAGCTGGTGTGGCCTCTGACTGCAGCCCACCCTCCTAATTCACCTGGAGCTCTAGACAGAACACAGCTGTCAGGCGCAGGGGTGTGGCAGGGTTTTCTCTCCTGGGGCTGGCGCGGCTGTTTGGAGCCTGGTGTTAACACTGGTTTGGCCTCTGTTTTCCCTGCTGTCTGGACCGTGGCCAGGCAACCAGCGCCACTTTGTCTCTGTCCAGTTCAGGACAGCCTCTCCCCACTCCAGCCTGAGTATGATGGCTTCTTCTTGGGGCAGTGACCTCTTCTGTATGGATTTAGGGTTTCATCTCTCTGCCTTCTCTGTAGGGGTATCAAAGAAGTTGGTGGAAATCTTCCAGAAGACCCCCCTGGGCAGGTTTTTGGCTCAGCTCCCTGTGGCACAGCAGCAGGATATCCTGCAGAGCTACTTGAAGGACTTCCTGCGTTTGACCATGAAAGTGGCTTCATGGGAGGAGTTAAAGGTAGGCGTGGATAATGTGGGCAAGACTCACCTCAGCTACAGTTTTGCCAAATTAGTACACCCTTAGAGCTACATGGGACACTCGGTCTCCTCTCCGTGCCTTCTAGAACCAAACCTTGTGTCACTTGAAGGAGTTCTAAGATCTCTCTGTAGCTGTCAGCATAGTGTCATGCATCTAATAATATTATTATCAATAATAATAATAATAATAACAATAATAACAATAAATTCAGTGGAAAGACTGATGCCCCAAATCTTCATACCTCACTGCATAGGTACAAATTTGGGGACATGCCATAATTAATATAGGTAAAATCTAATACAGTCCTTCCTAGGAATCATTAAAGATCAAGCCTTGTTTGATTTCTGAAACTTGATAAGCCACCTGCTCATAGAAACAATGAAGATGTCTAAATGTACTGCACTAAGACTCTAAAAGAGAAATCGGGGAGCCAGGTGCTGGTGGCACACAGCTTAATCCCAGTATTTGGGAAGCAGAGGCAGGGGGATCTCTGTGAGTTTGAGGTCAGTCTGGTCTGCACAGCGAGTTCCACAACAGCAAGGGTCACACAGAAAATCTGTCTCAAAAAAGGAAGCAACCAAAGGAACAAACAAAAAAACCCCAACGTTCTCTGATTTGAGTAGAGTGGGGGGGTGTTTAAAATGCAACACTGAATTAAGAAATTTGGGGACATGATGACTTCAGGTGTCTTAGTTGGGGTTTGTATGGCTGTGATGATACCGTGACCAAAGAGCATTTTGGGGAGGAAGGGCTGACTTGCATTACACCTGCGTAATCACTGCTCATCCCTGAAGGCAGTCAGGACAGGAACGCAAACAGGGCAGGATCCTAGAATCAGGAGCTGATGCAGAGGCCATGGAGGGGCACTGCTTACTGGCTTGGGCCCCATGGCTTCCTCAGCCTGCTTTCTTATAGAACCTGGGACCACCAGCCCAGGCATGACACCACCTACAATAGACTGGGCCCTCCCATATCAATCATTAATTAAGAAAATGCCCTACAGCCCTTGTAAAGAGAAGCCTTTCCGTCAGCCTGGTTCCAGAGCCACATCAGTCCCAAATAAACACACAGGAGGCTATATTAAGTATGAAGCTGTTGGCCTTGCTTGTTTCTTACTGGCTAGCTCTGACTTAAGTATTTATCCCATAATTGCTAATCTAAGTATGTCTCTTACCGGAGAGGTTTCCGTGCTTCCTACCCCATGGCGTTACATCTTGACTCCTGTGTTTCTCCTACCCAGAGTCCTCCTGGATTCCTAGTCCCATCTATCTTGGTTCCCTATTGGCCAACAGTGCTTTATTGACATATACACAGGACTTTCCCTATCAAGCCCTCTCTGTGAGTTTGAAGCCAGACTGGTCTAAAGAGTGAGTTCCAAGACAGCTAGAGCTGCACAGAGAAACCTTGTCTCTAAAGGTGGGGGGTGCCCTACAGGCTTGCCTACAGCCCGATCTTATGGAGGCATCTTCTCAGCTGAGGGCCCCTCCTCTCCAGTGACTCCAGCTTGTGTCCAGTTGACATAAGACTGGCCAGCACAGCAGTCTAGGGTGCCAGCAAGGAAAAAGACCATAAAACTCCACCAAAAGGCAGCCAGGTGATCATGGGCCTGATTTTTAAACCTTTTCTTTTTTTTATAGCTTTTGAATACTTAATGATTTTCCATAGAAAAGCATGTCTTCATCATGTAAAACTCGGCACTGAAATTGTCTTGTCTCCAGTTTCTGCAGATGGCCCTGTGGTCCTGCCTCAGTGAGCTCCGGACGGCTTCAGGAGTGCCTGAGGAAGGGCTCTCCCTGCCCTGGGTGCACCTCGCCTACCAGCGCTTCAGAACCCGGCTGCAGAACTTCTCCAGATTGTTGGCCGTCCACCCCCAGGTTCTGGAGAGCCTCGGTGAAGCGGCCCAGAGGCACAGCTTGGCTGGGAGTGAAATGGTAAGGGTCTCCCCTGGGGAGGGCCCCGGGCCTGCCCTCGGTGAGTGCTTCGGTGTGGTGGAGGAATAGGCCACAAGCCTGGAGTAAGGATGCAGGGCTGTACTGACGGGCGCGGGGGGGGAGTGGGCCCTGCTGGGTCACATGACTGTTCTCCCTGTTCCAGACACTAGATGCCGTTGCAGCAATGGCCTGTGTTGAAGTGCTGAAGGGCAGTGCCCTGAAGCCGAGCCCCAGGGCCTGGGTAAACATGGTGAAGAATTTGGCCATGCCTCTGGAGCTTGTCTGTTCCAGGGGGTACCTGCGGGACTGTGGGGACATAACCAGAGCCGTCGTCCAGGAGGTCAGGTGAGCAGAAGGGCCTGCCTCTGTGCACTCAGCCCGTGCCCACCCCTGGGACTTGCCTGGAGAGGAAGGTGGGCAGGAGAGACACCCACCCCACTCACCGCTCCCAAGCGCTGGCTGTCTGTTTCTAGGGACCTAGGAAGAGAGCCGTCCTGAGAGTGGTAGGGAGTGGACACGTTAGGAAGCAGGCAAAGCCGAAAGGGCAGCAGGGACAGGAGGGGCAAGCGGAGGAGGGGCAGGCTGCCGGTCCCTGTGCTGAGCTTGCTGGACCGATGCCTGTTGGGGCATGGAACATGGTATGGGTCTTTGGTGAGCCTGGTGTGTGGAAGAGTAGGGAGCTTGTGTGCAGGGACAGTGCCCTTGTGTTCACCTCACCTCTTAGCCTCTGCTCAGCTGCTCTCCCCTCCTGTGTCTCAGGCTCCTGTCAGAGCTCATTGCTAACACCCCTCTCTTGACAGAACCCTCTGGAATCGCATTTTCTCCATCGCACTCTTTGTGGAGCATGTTCTCCTCGAGACGGAAAGCCAGGTCCCTGAGCTGAGTCAGCTGGTAACCACCTATGTCTTCCTACTTGACAAGGTGAGTGCTGGGCTTGAGTAACAGCTGCCTGACTCTGAGCAGTGTGGAGAGCCGGAACTCCAGGGACACTTTCCTCTGGTTGGTGCACTATTGCTCTGGCAGGTTTATAGCTGGGCAAAGGGCAGTGATGTCATGACAGATCGCTCTATTCTTTCATTTGATGGGTTGGTTTTCAAGACAGGGCTTCTCTGAGCAGCCTTGGATGCTCCTGGAATTCACTGTGTAGACCAACCTGGCCTCAGACTCAGAGATTCTGCCTCTGCCTCTGCTTCACGCGGCCCTAAAGTGCTGGCAGGTGCGGGTGGGAAGTCGCATGGGACTTGCTGCTGCGGAACATGCGGTGTTGGAGCCGTGCAGACGCCCGCTGCTCACTTCTGTAACAGGGTGGGCCTTAGCAGCCTCAAACGAGCTCCCAGCAGACCTCTTCAGTTTCGTGTCTGTGTCATCTTTAACTGACACACCCTGCCTCTGGTGATCCTAGGAAGCTGTTCCTGGTGTCACTGTTGCCCTCAGTGTCACCTTTGCTGTGAGGGTGGTTGCCATGGCCTCGCTGCAAGCGTCAGATGGGATTTGTGGGGAGATATAGGGCCTCGGGTCTCTTCTCCCACTGAGGCGGCAAGGAAGGCTGTGTTTGAAAAGCCACTTATCACTGCCCTGACCCTGACCAGAGGCCAGCTGTCACGACGCCCCCAGCCTCCACCATCAGGCCCTGGTAAAAGCTGCAGAAAACGGTCAACATATATTTGGATTTTTTTTCGGTTATCTCTGACAGGAAGGATGGTTACGCATGAGACAGGTGGATAGACAGACGGATAGAGAAAAAGAAAGGTAGATTGTTGTTTATATGGTCTGCCTTCCAAGGTGTCTCCCAGAGCAGTCTTTCTGAACACTTTGCCACGGATCATTCAAACCCTGGCTTTCTAGGTGGTTGTATCTCTGTTGCCATTTACCACCCAACCACCAGGCCGCTGCCATGTTTTTAAAGTTGTGCTAAAGTGCACATTACACGAAGCGTGTCATTAAAGCCACACACACTCAGTGGCACTGAGCACACCCACACTACAATGCAGCCATCCCCACCGTCTACCCCTGAGCTTTATCGTCTTCCTACACAAAAACTGTCTCCATTAAAGACCCCAACCCTCCATCCCTCAGCTCCCCGCACTCTGCTCTGCGAACCTGACCAGCACTGGTGCCTCCTGGGAGCAGAACTCGCAGAGTGTGTCAGAATTCCCTTCCTTTTAAGGTCAAGTGTAAGTCTGCTTTGTGACCGAGCCCACTGCTGGTCTGTTTGTGGACATCCGGGCTTGGACCTGTGTTTGGTCGCTGTGATCAGCCGGGAACTGAAACATGGAAGTAATTGAGGCTCCCCCGCCCCTCCACTGGAAATGCTACTCATTTGCTCAATTCTGCATTTAACCTTTGGAGCAGCTGCTGTACTTTGCCCACAGTGACATTTCTACCAGCAGCAGATGGCTTCCAATTGCTCTTCCATAGCCTGGCCGGCACTCACTCTTGCTCGCCTTTTGTAGGCCAGCCATCTGAAATGTGGGAGTGCTGTGAGATACTGTCACTCTTGAGTGTGATTTAGTGTCCTTAATGACTAGGACATCCTGTGCATCTTCTTGGGAGAGATGTTTAGGCCTTTTGCCTGTTTCTCAATTTGATAGTTGATTAACCAGTCAAATTTATTGGGGCATAAAAACACATTATTCCTAAATTATGATTAATATTAGGAATTCAAGGATGGCTCAAAAATTAAATGTTGTCAACCATGTAATGTAAAAGATTGGCAGTGAGCCGGGCGTTGGTGGCGCACACCTTTGATCCCAGCACTCGGGAGGCAGAGGCAGGCGGATCTCTGTGAGTTTGAGGCCAGCCTGGTCTACAGAGTGAGTTCCAGGACAGCCTCCAAAACAATACAGAGAAACCCTGTCTCGAAAAACAAAACAAAACAAAAAAAAAAGATTGGCGGTGA